GTGTGTGTGTGTGTGTGTGTGTGTGTGTGTGTGTGTGTTGCTGGGGATGAAACCCAGGGCCTTGCACATGATAAGCAAGTGCTCTACCATTGAGCTATACCTCAGCCCTCTTATGGGTACTTTTGTTTGGTTGATATCATGTTTAAATTTATTTGGATCTAGATGCCAAAAATGATGTCCAACTTCTCCAAAGAAAGCAAATGTTCTTTAATTTTATTGGCCTCACATTCTAGTGTGCCAGCAGTCAGAGGATGCCAAGTAGGGGCTCCACCTTGGCGACAGGGCATGTGCTCTCTGTCTGCATGGGCCATGTGGCTGTCTGTTGTGTTGTGCCCAGGCCCTACTTTCCTCGCTCATTGTTTGCCTGGTTTCTGTTTGTTTTGTCACTATAAATCTTTTCTCTTGCAGTTCTCTGCCCAGGATGCTTTGCTATCCCTCACATGTCCTTTCTTGTTGCTTCTTTAACCTCCAAATGCAAAATTCTTTGTTTCCTCCTCTGTGTGGGTGCTCATAGCACTTGACAAGTTCCTCTGTTACAGCAAATAGTAGAGAGGTGTGTGTGTGTGTGTGTGTGTGTGTGTGTGTGTATGCGCGCGCGAGCACATGTGTGTGTATATTTGTTTCTGCTGCAAGATTCAAGCTCTTGGAGGCCAAGGACTCTGTCCAAGGTGATCCCAGGATTTCTACCTATACTAGGAAAAACTTAGGGGCAATAATCTGCTTGCAAGGGACAACTACAGGGGGGCTTGTCTTGGAGACTAGTGTGTATAGTACGTGCCCTGCTCTTACTTTGATTCTGAGTTTTTGGAGGATGACTTGGGGTAAGCACCCACTGGCACCACAGAGAATATAAAGACGACTGTAATGTGGTTAGTGGCACATGCCATGTCCTCAGTGTTTGGAATTAATTAAATTGAAGGCCCTCACTGTCCAGCAAGTGGTTAGTGCAGTTCCAGGTTTGGTAGAGTCTCACTCATTACATTAAAATGAACTTAGCCCAGGGTAGAGTAGGCATCTGCTGGGGTGGTTGGGTCAGAGCCTATAGCACTGTAGGCCTCCTACAGTGGTCACTAAACTAACTTTCTTGTAGTTGCTTTTGTATTACTTGGGATCAAATCCTCAGCCTCCACCTGTTAGGCAAGTGTTCTGCTACTGTATTACCCCCAGCCCTACGTTAACGTTTTAATTGAACAGGATTCTCTCCTGTTCAGAGCTTTTCAA